AGTGTGTCTTTCATTTTCACAAGGTGTACTTGTTTTTTTTTTCTTTATGATATTTATTTCTCTGAAGAATTATTCATTTATATTTTGTATTTTTTAAATAATTTGTTTAGGTAGTTTTCATCTTTCTGTGGTACTTCTTTGAGTAAATTAATAATCAACCTTCTGAATTCTTTATCTCGTAATTCAGAGATTTCTTGTTTTGGATCCATTGCTGGGGATCTAGTGTGATTTTTGGGTGTGTTATAAAATCCTGTTCAGTCATATTATCAGAATTATTTTCATGATTCTTTCTCATTTGGGTAAATTATTTCAGTTGGAAGATCTGAAACTCAAGGGCTGCTGTTCAGATTTTTTCATTCCATGTGGTAATCTCTTGTTGTGATGTTCTCCTTTTTCCCCTATGGATTGGGCTTCTTGAAAGCTGGACTGCAGTGATTGTTATTGCTCTTCAGGGTCTAGTGACCTAGCAGGGCTACCAGGCTCCAGGGTGCTGCTGGGGAATGTCTGTGGGGAACACTCCCGTGTGAGACCCCTAAAAGGCGTGAGTCTCACAATACGGTGAGTTTGATCCCAAACACAGTTTCCTACTGGAGGCAGTTGAGCTATCCGGAAATATAGGAACTGAAAGATGAATGATCAGTTTCTAATATCAACCACAATATCATTTGGGCCTAAAACTATGCATTGCTGCTAGACCGAGTGACCCCCTACCGGCAACCAGTTCCTGCTTTTAACCTTTTTATGACTTTAAGAATAATCCTTAAACCTTACTTACCAGACTGCCTTGTACCCTAGATAATGGTTTAACTGTCAATATTTGCAAAGCAAAATGCCACCATAAGGGATGGCTTTGATTCCTGACTCAGAGATTCCTGAATGGGGAAATTGAGTTGAGTTAGGAGTAGACAAAGGAGAATCCGGTTAAAAGATATTCTGATAAGCAAAACCAGAAAACCTTTTCACATCTCAGTTCTAAAACAAGATCAAACCAGAGATACCTGCAGCCAGGAGGAATAATGTCTGGATGTAAACAAGCTTTGTGATCACAGGAAATTGTTACTTTTTACAACCATTGATTGTGTATCTGACTTTTCAATTGTATAGGCCATGTAAGGTATACATTTACATTTCGTCTTGCAACCATTGTGTATTTGACTTCTCTATTGTATAGGCCATGTGAGGCATACATTTACATTCCTCTTACTATGATGTAAACCAGAGCCAAGAAAGTGTATTTATTCCTGGCCTTTGAAAAATAAAATTTGCTGTTTAGGCACAGCCTATCAGCCCTCCAGACGCCTCGCTTTCTCTCTCTCTGTCTTTATTATTTTCCCAGGCGCACTCCCTCTTCCAGGTATTGGGACCCTCTTGCAGGTCGAGAGACCCCCGGGCAGACGTGCCTACCCGTCCCGGACGGTCCACGATAAATGTCTGCAAAGAGTCCTGTGAAATGATCCATCTTCAGGTCTCCCAGCCATGGAAACCAGGATCTGCACTGATGTAGGTGGCAGGGGAGATTCTGTGAGGACCTTGATTGTAGATATGTGTAGTGTGCTGACTTTCTCGAGCGCTGGTTATGCTAGCAATGAAGTTGTCACGTGGACAGACTCAGGACCTCTGCTTAGCCAGGATGTTTTAGTCAGTGGAATTGGCTGCTGTCTTCTTACTTTGAGCAGGGTTTTACTGCCATGAGTTGCTGTAATGGCTTGAGTTTGTTTGCTCCAGCCAGGTGGCACTTTCAAGACAGCAACAGCTGTTGGAGTAGAAGGGATACAAAAGCTTGCTCTAAGTTGGCCAGGATAAGTATTCAGATTTCTTAGGCTATGAACAAGGCCATATTGCTCCCAAAATTTATGTTTTTTTGTGCGTGTGTTTGGATACCTGGGCATGAAGAGTAAGAACATCGGGTGGGGGCAGGGTTACGCATATCTGAACTCAGACTCTTCTTGGGTGGCGCTTGCCATAGCTGCTGTCAGGGATGGGGTTGGTTCTCAGGCCAAAGGAGTTATGTTTCATAGGGGATTATGGCTGCCTGTGCTGCGTCACACAGGTCACCAGGGAAGTGGAAGAAAGCTGGCAGTGACAATCCTTAACCAACTCCCAGGCAGCTGAGGAGACCAGTCTTGCTCCTGCTGTGACCCACCAACAGGGCCAAGTTTATATCAGTCATTGCCCCTGGCTACAAGCCTCCAAGAAAGCAATCAGGCATTTAGGCCACACCCCTCCATGCCTTCCCACACTTTAAGCCACAGCTCCTGTGCTTATATCTGCAGCATTCCCTGTTTGCTCCCTGGATTGCCATCAAGAAAATTTGTGCCCAGTCAGCATAATTACAAAGTTCAGTTGGAAGCTTCCTTCATCCTGAGACATCCTCCCTAATTCTGCTGGTCGCCTTCTCCAAGGACCCCTGTGAGATAAAGTCATCCATCGCTTTGCTGGGCTCAATCTGGAGAATGGGAGTACCTACCAGGCTCTTCCAGCTGCTTCTTCTACTTTTATATTTTGCATGGCTCCCTTTCAGGATTCCAGTGGGGCTGTGTGTTCAGAGGCAGATTTTCCCCCACGAACTTTTTTGGCGATCTCACAGAATTTGCAGTGGCAAATTGTTTCAATGGATCTATGAATTCTTTCAGTTTGCTTCATGTATTTCTGAGGTGCTTTTGGAGAAAAGTTTACAGTTTGAGTCTTCAAACACGGTTCTGTCATACAAGTGGGAGCTGTACCTTACTCCTGTCTCCTGTCATTTTCTCCCTGTGACTTTACATTTTTAGACAGACTTAAAGAAGTTAATCTTCCCAAAGTGATGTAATTAATATATCATATATGCTCTGGAATCTAAACTTAAATATAGGCAATATAAGATCTCTGGGATACTAAAAAAGATACTGTTTGTCTTCCTCATATGCAGAAAATAGAAATAAGCTGTCCGGTCTGACTTGGTTATTTGGGTTAGTTTTTTAGTACCACCATCTCATCAATACTCAGCAAGACACCACCTTGCAACAGAAAGAAACCTTAAGAAATATCTCCCAACAGCTAAAATCTCTTCAGGTCCAGAACATGGAGCTTGCAGAAAAACTGCAGCATGTGACTGAAACACTCTGTCGTGTGCTCTAGGACAAAACTGGAGGTAAGCATGTCCTGGTCACTCTACCCCCGTGCTATCTTACAACAGAGAGCTGGAATTCCCACCAGTGAAACCAAGAGCCAAGTATTATTTAACTAATGGTCTGGCAAACTGAATAAGGAATTTGTGCTTCAAGTTCACCATCAGTTATTGGGAGCGTGCTGTTCATATGTGTCTGTGTTCCTATACATGAAGGGACTGTTCAAATGCAGACACTTAAAACAATAAAAACAATTAACTAGAATAATAAAAATAATACTATGAGTAAATAAAATACAGGGTTATGTCTCAATTTGCCTCAGCAGATGTTCTTACAAATTCTTTCCTAGAGAAAAGTAAACAAACTCATAACTATGGTTTTCAAATTTTAAGAATCATACAGGGACTGGTTCAAAAATGTAGATAACCTGAATCCAATTCCAGTTATTTTAATTCAGGATAACATAACTGGATATGAAAATATGTATTTTAACTTTTAATTTTTTTTTTTCTGAGATGGAGTGTCATTCTGTCACCAGGCTGGAGTGCAGTGGTGTGACCTTGGCTCACTGCAACCTCCGCCTCTCAGGTTCAAGCAATTCTCCTGGCTCAGCCTCCCGAGTAGCTGGGACTACAGGTGTGTGCCACCATGCCCAGCTAATTTTTGTATTTTTAGTAGAGATGGAGTTTCACCATGTTGGTCAGGATGGTCTCGATGTCTCGACCTCGTTATCCATCCACCTTGAACACTCAAAGTGCTGGGATTACAGGTGTGAGCCACTGTACCTGGCCATGTAAATTGGTATTTTATAGGTAAAGAGAGTTCTTAGAAAGTGTACACGTTTGGTTTGGAAATTGATTGGTATTTTAATTTCACTAGATGTATATGCCATTGACAAAACATTTGAGAATAGTTCATTTTTAGTCCACACATTTATCTGGCCAAAAATATTCATTTTATCCTTAAAATTATGTATATTTCCATATAATCTATCTATGGAGAGAGAAATGAATTTCTTCTGAACTTTATTCCAATTTTTTATCCCATTCTTTAGAAATAGAGTGTGATTAAATTTACTTTTTCCTTCTCTTAAAGGTTTCATATTGTATTAGATGACACAACCCCAAGAAGCAGAGGCTGTGTGGCCATCATCAACGGAATGGCTTTCTCAAAGGACTGTCAAGAGTTGAGGTGGTGTGCGTGTGAGAGGAGGGTGGCAAAAGCGAAGCCAAAAAGCCTTCATTAGCCTCCCTGAACCATTTGGCAAAAGTGATAGACTCTCCAGCTGCAACTACAACAGAGTTGAGCCAAGTGAGGTCAATGCAAGGGCTACTTGAGACGTTGGGCAATGAAACATTATCAGGAAAGACCATCTCTGTCACTAGTACAAGATGGAGTCTCATGTTTCCTGCTCACAGTCACCAGCCTTTCCAAGCTTGGGTCCATGCACATATTTACCAGTCACAAGAAGTCCTATTTATATGCCACTAACCAGTCTCAGAAATTCATAATGTCATCTACCTTCTTGGCTTAGAGATAACTTTTAGCTTTCTTTATTCTCAATGTGTAATATCACCTCCCTGTTTCCATGTCTTCTTTACATCTGGAGGAGTGAGAAACTTTTTAAAGTAGAAGAAATATTGGGAAGTAACATCTTTTGCCCTGACAGCCAAGTAGTCCATCTGAATTAACAGTCATTCCCCAGATTGTACCACCAAATGCACAAGGAATCTTTTTCTTGTTTCAGTTCACACTGTTCACTTCCCAGTCCCTCAGTAAAGACCCCATCTACTATGTCTATGGCCTGCTTCCCAACAGGGATGTCTCTTGTTATGAGAATCTCAATGTCCTATAAACAACCATCCCTGTGTCCATTAAGATTCTGGTAATTTGGTCCTTTTGTAGTTCATGAGCATGATGATTGGGTGTTCATGAGCACATGTGATATATGCCTCCCTCTGAACCTTGTTACGATGTCGGTACATTACCCATCTGACCTGGGGTGGGGGGGTGGATTTCTGATAATTGTCTGCCTTCCATAGGAATTTCTTCTGGGAAAGAAATATATCCCAACTCAATTCCATATCAGAATTACTCTCCCTGATATTCCCTTCAAAATTGAAGACCAAAAAAAGTCACTCTCTTCATGTGCACCTGTAATAGTTTGATTTCCGTCCCTATTTTCTTTCATTTGACTCCAATTTACACCATTCATATACTGAAGATTTAATGATAATAAATGCGACCACAGTGAAGTGTGTGTTTTAGAATGGACTTACGATTTGGGGGAAAATTCAGCATGGGAGTGCTTCTCAAAATATAACAATCTGCCTTACTGAGAGTTTTTGGGGAATCGACAAGAGTACTGATTATGTGATTATTTGGGAAAAAAATAAGACGTCTTTGAAATGCATATTGTCTACAAGGGAACAGTTCTAACACTTTACTAAAATGAAATATTTTGAGGCAAACTCGTGGCATCAATACTTGGTTGATGAGTAAGCTGAGTTGCATTAGTGCACATGATTTCTAATCAGATCATGAGACATGAACAGACAGTGACATCTGTGTAGCTTTTCCTTTGGTAGGCACTCCTTTCTTGAGATGACTCCATGAGCAAACATAACTGGGATTGTTGTGAGTGACACCATCACAGCTACCAAGTTTATTGGTTCATTGATAAATCAATTATGGGGTTTTGATGCTAGAAGGATAACATATTAGAAATCTTTATTTTTCAATAGTGGAAACTAAGGTGCTTCACTTTTGTTTTCAGTAAACATCTGTTTCATTTTGAACTAACATAGAGTAGCAATTACATGATAGAAAGAACACAGTGCTCATTTTCGTAAGACTTCATTTCATAAATTGTTGCTTAGCAAAGACTATTGCAGATTCTTCCTTGAGAACTTCCCATTTTCTGTTGATTTCCTTAAACATTTCTTCAGGGTTGAACAAGTTCTGTCGATATATTGTGTCCTGCAAAGAAAACTGTATTTGTGGTCAAAAAATGAGGATTTTAGATCTCTTATTCTGATTTACTTATTTGGCAAATTGTTTTACTTCATGGAGCATATTTCATTATTTATGAGGTAGAAATAGTTATAATTTCCTCATAATATTACTGTTAGCTGAAATGAGGTAAATGTGAAATCAGTTTCATAATCTGAATTGCAATATAAAATGTAAGAGAAATCAAGAAAATATTTTAAAAAGCGTGGTGGCTCAAGCCTGTAATCCCAGCACTTTGGGAGGCCGAGGCGGGTGGATCACGAGGTCGAGAGATCGAGACCATCCTGGTCAACCTGGTGAAACCCCATCTCTACTAAAAATACAAAAAACTAGCTGGGAGTGGTGGTGCGTGCCTGTAATCCCAGCTACTCGGGAGGCTGAGGCAGGAGAATTGCCTGAGCCCAGGAGGCGGAGGTTGCGGTGAGCCGAGATTATGCCATTGCACTCCAGCCTGAGTAACAAGAGCAAAACTCCGTCTCAAAAAAAAAAAAAAAAAAAATGGATCTAGTGATTTACTTTTGAATATAGGGGAGCACAAACATGCATAAACAATGTTAAAAGAAAAACTTTAGACAAATTAAATTTAGGGGGGTTTAATTGAGCAGTGAATGTTTTGTAAATTAGGCAGCCTCCTGAGCCAGAGTAGACTCAGGCTCCAGCACAGCCAGGTGGTGGAAGAAGATTTATGGACAGAAATAGCAAAGTGTAGTAAAGAAAAAGGGTGTGAGGTAGAGAAAAAACTGGACTGGTTACAGCTCAGCGTTTGCCTTGTTTGAACATGGTTCAAACAGTTGGCTACATATGATTGACCAGAATATGGTGATCAGCACAAGTGTAGGCTAGGGTCTGTTTACATGTCACCTTGCTATAGTTCAGACAATGTACAGAGAAACCTTTAGACAGAACTTAAAATATGTAAGGAGACAACAGGAGAAGTTTTGTAGTTAAACTTGTTTTAACAACAAACTTCTTTGGAGATTTGTATTTAAGAAAAAATTGTAGAAGGACGCCTGCATTAAGGAGCTAAGGAAATCATTAGCAAATATTTTCTGTGATGAGAGCAGATGTTCAGTGAAAGTAGTTCATATTATAGATACACAAGAAGAAGGGAGAATTCAGTCTGTAATTAAGCAATTGTTATGTAAGCCTTGGTGCTACAAAAAGAAAATATGGTTCATGGAGAAAGTCAAATGATTTGGGGGATTAAGTTGTAAAACAGAGACATGTATTCTAAATGTTTTGACCCCTAGCATCCTATGTAGTTGCAGGCCAGCTTAGGGATGTATGGCAAGCATCTCTTTAAACGCTGTTGATGTGAAGAGTCTAGCTACTTGCAGAGTGAGTGTTGAATGGTGTCTTTCCAAGTCTGGGACTAAGCAGTAGTATCACTTAAGAGAGTGAAGAGGGAAAAAAATAGCAAACATTTCAAAACAACAGAAAGAGTGTAGCATAACATTCTCCCAACTCAATTTTTCACATCGATTTTAAGAATAGGAAATAATCATAAAATGAAATTTTAACTGATTTGCCGAGAACAATATCCAGTTAAGAACCAAAGAAGGGCACTGCATGAATTGGTTATCAGCATGAGGAGACTTTTTTTTTTCTTCTACGTTCTTGTTTATGTAATTCTGAGGAAATTGTAGGAACAGTCAAACAAAGAGCCTAGCCTTTCTTAGCAGAGCTAAGATCCCTAAAATACATACCGAGTTCCTTCTTACCCAGGGATATCAAACCCGCTCTCAGAATTTATCAACAGGAGACAGGCCATGAGCCCTGTTACAGCAGGAAGTGTGAAAAAGGTAATGGGAAGCTTTTATTTTGGGGATGCAAACAGATTATAAACATAGAAAAGTCTAGTAGGTTGTCTCAGGGCCAGTTTTAATATTTGGGGAGTCAGCTCCTCTGTAGAGAGAGTCTTATGGTTTTTGAAGATTACAAACAGCAGGATAATCTGATTTAAACTGTGCTTGACTTTTGCATAAGCTTCACGTATGAATAACTTTTTAGGCTCCAATACTATCTACTATAATTCTACCAATATTGTTATCCTATTGTTTTTCTTTTTACACATTTAATGTACTTTAACAAAACTACCTAACTAAACCTCTTTACATTTGCAGGACAGTTTTACTTTGTTTTCTTTTCCTTTGTTTAAAGCTAACTTACAACTTGATGAGAGAGATCTAAGATGCCCAATTCATTGTTGGTGGGACTAGGATATGACTGGTGTTCCCAGTGCTGTCTCGAAAATGCCTTGAATCCTGGACCAAAAGCAACATGCAGAGAAGAATCTCCCACCTACAGTATCTGTGAGGAAAGCAGCATTGCTGCTGAGGAGACGTGTAGGAGCTGAAGTCAGTTGCACTGTGGATAAATTCCAATTTGTAAATGCTGCATCACACACAGGGGATGACATCAGCTGAAGGATGTTTGCCCTTTTGCTTCATTGCACTTTTTCTAAGAATAATTATACATGTTTCCTATCCTTTCTCTAAACATAACTCCATGACAATACTTTGAAGACAGTCTTTACTAGTAAACTCTGCTACCATTTCTTCTTTATTCCAGGCTATTACATTCAGCTGCCAGCTGTCAGCTGTGAAAACCAAACACAGACGGCAATATATGTTGTGTTTTCTCTGCTATTCTTTGCCAAGTTCGGCAGACCACTAGAGAAAAGTCTCTTTTATTTAAACTTCCACATTTAAACTCCAGGTCAAAGATAAATAAAAATAAAAACATGCTTTTCCCTTCCTTACATGACCTTATACATTGTTTAAAAAAAAACCAAAAAACAAACAAACAAACAAAACCCAAAAAACCTTTAGGTAACAAGGTATTTAGTTTTATTTACATGATTTCCACTGACTTGGTGAATTAGGTTGTATTTCTACTTTGTATATTTAAGTGATGCTTTTTTTATTTTTATTTTTGTTTTTTTGGGACACAATCTCACTCCTTCAACCAGGCTGGGGTGCAGTGGCGCAATCTTGACTCACTGCAATCTCTGCCTCCCTGGTTCAAGCAATTATCTTGCCTCAGTCTCCAAAGAAGCTGAGATCACAGGCGCCCACCGCCAAGCCCAGCTAATTTTTTCATTTTTAGTAGAGACAGGGTTTCACCATGTTGTGTTGACCAGGCTGGTCTCAAACCACTAACCTTAAGTGACCTGCTTGCCTCGGCCTCCCAAGGTGCTGAAACCACAGGCATGAGCCACTGTGTCCAAAGTAAGTGATGTCCTTATCCTGAAGAAGAAAAGATGAGAATCTAACATACCTCAGCTCTTCTTTGTGAGAAATGAAGAACTGAATAAAATCATATTGAATTAAGCAAATACTTGTTGAGAACCTACTGTGTGGTAAGGTGTAAGGATGGTAAGCGGTAAAAAGTGATATAATAATATTAAGGAATTTGTTCTTTCTGTAAATTACAACGTATAGCTATTAACTATCTCTTGGGAACAAGATAATTCATGCTTCAGGGGGCCTACAGACTTAGGACAGAGACTGTCTATAGATTTATTTGAGGAGAATCCATTAACTTTAAAGCAAATATTCTCTCCAGAGTACTGCTGATGTTTTACACATAAACTTTAACTTCTCAATATCCCTGCATCAGGAGCAAAAAAAAAAAAAAAAAAAAAGTATCTTTTTTTCCCTGAAATGCACAAAGGTTGAAACCTAGAGATGACTCGTGATGTACTCCAGAGAACAACAGCAAACAATGACAGAGTGTTCACTCTGTGCAAGACTATTCTCACCATATTGATATATATTTATGGTCTAATCCCCAAACAATATTCTGAAGTAAGTTATATTGTTATTTTACAATGAGGCCATTGACACAGTAATGGCAGACTGCCTCGGTACGCCCTTACCCCACAGAGCTGGACCATCCCAGGTCCAGCTGTGCTTGCTGTGCTCTCAATACAGAGCATTTCAGATTGCTGGTCTTTGTGGGGGTGGGACTGGCCTAGCCAGATC